AGGGCTGCAGCAGGAGGAGGAGGAGGTCACAGGGAACCTGAACGAGACCTGTGCGACAGGCGGGAGCCATCAGCGGTGCTGCGGCGCCGGCAAGGAAGCTCCTCGGGGCTGCGCTGAAGAGGGGTGCGAGAGGTGCTGCGCCTCAGCTTCCAGTCAGGACGAGCAGCAGGTCCCCAACGTCTTCTGCACTCGCGAGGCTGCCGTGGAAGCGCTGGAGCTGCTGGGTGCTACGTTTGTGGATAAGAAACGCGACCTTTTGGGAGCCCACAAGTACTGGCGCCGGGCGATGGAGCTGCGGTGCGAGGGTGGGCAGTACCTGCCTAAGCCCGAGCCCCGGCAGCTGGTGTTGGCCTACGACTATTCCCGGGAGGTGAGTTCGCTGGAGGAACTGGAAGCCTTGATTACCGACCCGGATGAGATGCGCATGCAGGCGCTGCTGCCCGCGGCCGCTTCTGGGCGCCCTCCCCCCCGGACACTTCCTTTTACATCCGCTACCGAGGAGCCGTCTACGCTGACTCCGGCAACTTTGAGCGCTGCATTAACCTGTGGAAATACGCTCTGGACATGCAGCAAGGCAACCTGGAGCCTCTCAGCCCGATGACCGCCAGCAGTTTCCTTTCCTTTGCCGAGCTTTTCTCTTACGTGCTTCAGGACCGCTCCAAAGGCACTTTGGCCACTCACCTGGGCTTCTCCGACCTCATGGGGGTGCTGAGCAAAGGGGTGCGCGAGGTGGAGAGGGCTCTCGTGCACGGCAAGGACCCCGTGGTTGACTCGGCGCAGTTCACCAAGACGTTGGCCATCATCCTCCACCTGGTCTTCTTGCTGGAGAAGGTGGAGTGCACCCCGGAGCAGGAGCACCAGAAGCGCCAGACCGTCTACCGCCTGCTCAAGTGCAGCCCCCGCGCCAAGAACGGCTTCACCCCTTTGCACATGGCCGTGGACAAAGACACCACCGCGGTGGGACGTTACCCCGTGGGCAAATTCCCGTCGCTCCACGTCGTCAACTTGCTGCTGGAG